ATTTGGCAATTGGTTTTCAAGATTTTGTAAATGAACTATCTTCTGAACTTCTAGTTCATATTATTTTTTACGAGGATCAAGATGATGTAAAGATAAAGTACTCCATGTAATCTTTTTGTTCAATATTTTTAACTACTTATTTTGTTTATTCTCTCCTTCTAATGTTAGAAAAAATTATTTTATCAAAATGATAGTCTATAAATTGAGCTATAAAAATATCTCATGTTCATTGTTCAAAATATTTAATCATCAAAGAGGATTCAAATCCAACATATATTCTCAATCTCATTTAAAAGCCATTTTACTTCATTATAAAGGAGCACTAGGGATATATACTGCACGATCAAAAAATTATTAGATGAGAAATATTTGGTCGAAGGTTAGAAACTAATTGAAGAGGAGAGAATTTTTTATAAATTGTGGCTTTGACCGAATAAGTATTAATGCATATAAGATTGTATGTCACCAAACATAAATATAAACAGAGAGTTTTGTTTTCATAAGCAATGATTTAGCTATCAATTGGAGTGTTTTGATAAATGATTTTACTAAAACTTTTTAAGTATGAACATAAGTAACAGTATCGTTCAATCTTTATTCTAATAACCAATCAATAATCATTCATGTTTGAGAGATAAATTCATTAGCACTATCAAGGCAAATTGTTTTAATGACATAATCAAAAAATTATGCTCGTAATCGAATTATTTGAGCTAGCAACCTCAAAACATCAAGTTTCGAGTATATAATAAGCATATATGTGATTATCTTGTGAATGCATCTATTAAAACTATAAAATATTTAAATGGTCCATAAGGTTGATGAATTGGTCTATATATAACGCTTTGAATACATTATAAAAATACTAGAAATTCAATCTCAATTTTACTTAGTGATGGCTTAATAATTAATTTATCTTGAAAACATGCGGACATAAAAATTAATTAAATTGAAAAATCTTCCGACTTTTCAATAGATGTCCATATAAAATTTCAATAATTTTTACATCATGAAAGACCCAAGATAACCTAACCGATTATGTCACATAATAAAAGTATAAGTAAACTTCGATTTACTATATCATTTGTTTCAATCTTTTAAATATTTGTAATAAAAACTAGAAGAAGAAATATGTAATTTCTCCAATACATATTTTCTATCCGATATAATAATTATAATATATAAGTATTTAATATTTTTCACATTTGTTGTCTTGATCCGATATCTATTTAGACAAATATCTTTGAAAATCATCAAACTTTTATGAGACTTCAAAGATAATAGTGCATTATTTATAATAAAATTATCATTTCGAGTAATAATATATTTTTTGTTTTGTAGCCTTTAAAATCTATCCTTGTAAGTAATGTTATATTCGCTTTTCTAGAGACTTTAACATTTCTTTCTTCAAGTAATAATATATTAGTTATTCTAGAACTTTCAAAATTTGTTTCTTTAAGTAATGATATATTCGCTCTCCCGAAGTCTTTAAAATTTGACTCTTCGAGTAATATAGTCGCTCTTCTAGATCTTTCTATTAGATTGATGCTATCGGATATAATATTAACTCAAAATAAATAATTAAAAAAATAAAAAACAAATACATATTTTCTTCATAAAAATAAATAAATAGCAAAATTATTTTGTAACTATCATTATGCAATAGAAATTATAAGAAAATATGAAACATCTTACTTATAAATAAATAAAAAATAAGTTATTAATTTTAATTATCATCATTTTGATATATAAAATTGGCCTATATATTTTACTATTTATTTTTCAACGAGACTTGATACGGCTCAATGAGATACTTTAGCGTATGATAAGTACTCGACCAATGTCCCTTCATACCACATCTATAACATATATTTTCACAAAATGCCAACTTAATCCATTTTCATTCTTTTATATATATATTATCCACTTCGGTGGTGAGGTGTATTATTACAATCATCATAATTATAAAAACAATTATTCCAATCACGATTATAGTTATATCCATGTCCATGGCCACAACCACATCATCATCCATGCCTAGAATTGTTATAAAATGTCACATTCATTTTAATGAATGAGATATGCCTAATTAGGTAAGATTCATGATTTTTCATTAATAACTCGTTATTTTGTTTAACCATAAGTAAATATAAAATCAATTTAAAATATTTCTTAAAAAAATTTATTCGACATTGCTACTGTAGGAGCATATTCGAGGCATAAAAAGTAAATAATATACTTTCAACATCAATCATCCATAATCAATAATTTTTGCTCAAAATGTTAAGGACCACGGAATCAAGATTTATGAGGCGCGATATGATCAAAATTCTATAATGTAAGATATATTAATTAATGTTAAAAAGTAAAAACAAACATAATAATAAAATTTAAACTTTTCAAACAATATACATTAGATTGTTAGATTTTATATATTAAATCATTTAATTTTTTCAAATATATACTCTATGTATCATTAGATGTAAAGTACACGATAAATTAGATACATATCTCTTAATAATTTAGATAATTTAGATCTTCCGATAGAGCACTCGTTTAAAAAACCAATCCAATGATTGAAATAAATAATTGAGTATTTTGATAAATACGTACCTCATGTTCAAAATGTTAAGGGCCACAAAATCAAGATTTATGAGGTGTGATATGATCGAAATTCTATAACGTAAGATATATTGATTAATATTAAAAAATAAAAATTAACATAACAATAAAATTTAAACTTTTCAAATAATATACATTAGATCATTAGATTCTATATATTAAATCATTTAAGTTTTTCAAATATATACTTTATATATCATTAAATTTAAAATACATGATGCATTAGATACATATCTCTTAATGATTTAGATAATTTAGATCTTTTGATAGAGTACTTGTTTAGAAAACTAATCCAATTATTAAAATAAATAATTGAGTCTTTTGACGGATACATACCTAATGGTCTATCGGTTCGGTTGATTAGAGTTTCGTGTTGATAACGTGTTAAAAAAAAATGATAACAATAGTAGAATTGAGAGAAAAAAGATAAGAAAATAAATTCACTATAAAATAAAGTGAATACAAGATATAACAATTCTAAATAATTCTTTAAATCTCAATAAAACACATCTACTCAAACTAATGAACAATCAAGCCTATTTATAAGCTTCAAGATTAGGAAGAAAATTGAAAAGTAATATGAACCATTAAAAAGTGTATAAATAATTAAATCAATTACATCACTCTTTCAATTTCTCATATTGAATGATGAATTGAATCACCCGAGTAGTGGGAATTGAAATAGATATTCATTATTTCATAACAAAAGCTAAATATTCTTAATTTTAGTCAAATTAATAAATTTGTTGGTGTTTGGGGTCCAACACTAACAAAAATTTATATTTTTATTTTTTAGTCAAATGAAGAAAATTTTTAAATCAAAATAATTAAACTATAATAGACTCGTTTGAGTTATTACAAAGTTATAAATATCATTAAAATTTTAAAAATTTAACTAAAATTCTCTTTGTATTTAAAAAAAACTATTATAAATATTTCTTTTTATACTTGAAATTTGCTTACTATCATGAAGACATATTAAAAAAAATACTATAAATATTTTATTTTATACTCAAAATATGCTTACTATCATAACGACCCATTCAAAAAAAATATATAAATATTTTATTTTAGACTCAAATTTTGCTTAATATTATAAAGACAAATTTAAGCTTAAAAAAGATATTTTGTATAAAAAAAAATTATCTTTACTTCTTTTTTAGTTTTTTTTTATTATTTTTATAGAAAATGATTAGATATATCTTCACTTTTTTTTTTTAGTTTTTTTAATCAAAATAAAATATAGAGATAAGATTTAAAAAAAAAATTAACATTGTTAGTCTAAAAACTAACATAATGAGATTAAGATAAAAAATAAATGTAAATAAATAAATTTAAGACAGAAAAAAAATACAATAAAGATTTTTTTTCTTTAAAAAAAAATAGTAAAGAAACTTTTGCAATTACCAGCCCAAAGTTTATAGATACTGAAAAAGGAAAAATAAAAGCCAGACAACTAGATGATTGTAAAAGTTAAATTGATATTGATATTATTTTATTTTGACAAATAAACCCATATATATATATATATATATATATATATATATATATATATATATATATATATATATATATAAAGGATTTTGTTTTCTTATGCCTTGATTGGTAAAATTTTAAATTCAATCATGCTGAATTGGCAAAAAGTAAATTATACATTAGTCCTTCTAATTTTAAGAAATAAATAAATAAATTTTTTTAAAAAAAATTATTATATAATTATTTGACTAGTGTTGTTTATGCTTTTTTTTTTTATCTACAAAATGTTTTTGTCTCATCAATCTTTATTTTTATATATTTTTTTTCTTTTATTTTTTTTAAATTAAATAAATTTAAAAAAAAATAAAAAAATTAAATTTAAAAATAAAGACTAAATAATTATTTTTTAAACATAAAAATTAATTAATTTGTTTCTTAAAACAAGATGGATTAATTTATAATTTACTCCAATCGCAAACCATGGTGTTAAAAAAGCCGTCCTACCAATATATCCCGCCACACATCCAATAAAAATCTTAGCTTCCCCTTAGTACCAGATTAGCGGTGATTATGCCCAGTCGTCCACCAAATCCCCTACTCCAATCCCACAAAACATACACACCAAAATAAACAGCTTCCTCTCACGTAACACGTCCAACTCCTGTAGTGAGAAGGACACCAAAACCAACGAATACGTCCAAAAATTTAAAAAGAGCAGAGCACCAACATAACAGAAACCGCGTGCCTTTCCACCCACTGAATTCTCCTCTTAGCAGCCGCCATTAATGACTCTCTCTCTCTCTCTCTCTCTACCCTCCCCCCCCCCTTCTAGCTATTAAAGCCATAAAAATCTCTTCCTGAAACAATCCTACAACTTCTGTTCTTTCTTCTACTTTCCTACAATGTGTAGAACCACAGACTTTCATGGGTTACAATCAAGAACCCAAGAAAAGCACTTAAAGATTAAATCTTTTTACGTCCGGTTTACTGGTTTCAAACCCGATAACAAACCGGTCCCCGAGTCACTCACGCATGTTTATCTTCCGCGTGCTCATGATCTTATCATTGATGGGTCCAAGATTCGACCCGAGTCTAAAGCGTTCTTGGGTCTTCATAGGATTGTTAATGTGGATAAAAAGGAAGGACAGGGAGAGGTTGTGTTCGGGTCAAGAGAACGGGTTCGGGTTGGTGAAGGGGTCCGGTTTGAGGTTTATTTAAGAGAAGAGAGGGTGTTAGAGGGGAGTTTTAGAAGAGATGCTGACTTGGAAAAGTGGAAGTTGGAGTGTTCTTGTGGCGGCGACGTTGGTGAGGTTAGGGCGGAGGAGGTTTGTGTAGCGGTGGAGGGAGATGTGACGTTGGTTGAGAAGGTGGTGAAGAGGAAGAAGAAGAGTAGGAGAGGGTTTGATAGGCTGGAGGTGATTCCAGAGGAGAGAGAGGTAGTCGAGGATGAATCAGACGGTGGATGTTGTTGTGATTGTGACGGGTGGGGAATGTACGGTGGAGATATGGAAGAGGGGTGTGGTCCAGATTGCGAAAAGGTTGAGATGGAAATGAAAAGTGTTAGATGGGCGGTTGATGTTGGGGTTTGGGTTATGTGTTTGGGTGTGGGTTTCATGGTTTCTAGAGCTTCTGCTAAGAGCTTGAGAAGATTGAGATTACTTTGAAAGGGATTTGGATCTTTTTTGGTTTTCCCAATATTTTTCTTGTCTCTTTGGTTTTTACATAGTGCGTGCAAAGTTGCGCAGTCAATCATTAAAACTAAATTGTATAGAAGTTTCTATAAATTTTATCCACTAATTATACTACGACACGATCAGCTATTTTCTTTTACTACATAAGTACATAATACTATGATGATATGATCTTTGTCACACGTGTAAGATCATTTGTTTTAGTGGTCAAGATAATTTCTCCCATGCAGAAATTTCTTCCCCGCATGGCCAAGATCATATACCATTATTCTCTCCTCTACAAATTATTAGTGCTGATAAAAAAGGTATATGGAATTTTGGTTAATTGAAGGATTCTAATTGGTAAAAGAGTATTGATAAAGTCAATTCGGGGGAGCTCTAGCTTTAGGAGTGTTCATTGTACTTTGCCTCTTTATTTCATATCATCACAAATTCGACGCATCCAAACCTCATCCCACTTGCATGGAATGGTGCAAGTTGCAGGTCTTAGACATCGTTTGTTGGGAGTTGAATATCTTGCCTCTCTCTCTTATTTATTTATTTATTTATTATCCCTGAACTTAAGCCACTTGCCTTTTGGGATCCAAAATTAGTAGTAGTAAACGAAAATCTTGCATCCATTAAGGTCCCCTGTTACTTGGACCAGGGCTAAACATAAATACTTGGGCTTTCGTCCAGCATGATTTATGGCCTTCTATGAATAAGAATGAATCCAAAAAAAAAAAAATCAAACAGGCTAAATGGAGTGAAGCTAACCCAACATGACAACAGTGCCAAATCTTTGGCTTCCTTTTTTTTTTTTTTTTGGGTATAATTTCCTTCGGTTTCTGCGGCTTTCTCCTCGTGTAAACAGAACGTTAAAGCTTAAAACAGAAAGTAAGAATCGAAGTTAATTTATAACCGCACAATACTTTTTTTCTCGATATTAAGACATATTATCGAATTAACTTGCACGGTCGAATATTTTTTAAACGATTTTAAAAATTATCTTCCATATATCAGAAAATCAAGTGTATATACTCAATTTTTCCTAAAATTGACTGAGTAATTTATTTAATTTTATTATGTGTTAATTTATAATTTTTTTTTTTTTTTACATGAGTTCAGATTATAAAATAAATAAATTAGGTCGAAGAGGGAATTACTCCGCATAAAGTTTTTGTATCACAAAGATAAATAGGAATATTTTAACCAGACTAGCGCTCATATCTTATTTTTTGAATGCATTATGAAAATTGGCTTGATAGGCTTAGAAATAACAATGAATCAGGTATAAAGTATCATATCCAGCTTGTCTATTAATTATCCTTTAAAAACACTGTAATAGGTAATAGCATAAATATGAATAAAATAGTATTATCCATTTATGTTAATGGATAATTAATTTATAAATATCAGTATTCTCTTTTTAATTTATTGATACTCATTATTTACCCATTAATATAAAAAATACTAAAATAATTTTTTTTAAAGAAAGAAACTATAGCGTTAGGCTATAGCTCACACATTACTGTAAGAATAAATTCATATTGCTGGTCATAAGACCGTAAGAATGGAATGAGAGAATTGGCAATTCGTTGAAGTTCACAAATTTTTCATGGTTTAACGCACACTGTAATTCGAGATACCTTCAGTAATCTTCTTTAATTTCTCTTGCTTTTTGGTACATTGGTTATTTCGTATTGGTGTCCTTTCAAACAATTTTTTTATGGATAATTTTTATTGAAATGATGTGCATGTATTATCATTCTACTTATTTATTTATTAAATTTAAAGAATTATCTAATAAAAAATATTGTCACATAGACACATGGATTAAAAAGTTATAAATTATTAAATATATTTATTAAAATATTTTTAGTATGTTACAATCTTTATAAAAAGAGTTTGTAATAAAAAATATTTTTCAATAAAAAAAGTCTTCAATTTAAAGAGAAAAAAATTAATGGATAAACGGGTATGGATAAGGTATAAGAGAATATAATATAATGGGTATGGAATGGGTAGAGAAATAGACAAGTGATTCTTAACAGGTAATGAGTAGAATAATAAATATAATATTTTTTTTCCTAATGGATAGGGTATGGAATTGATTTAATGAGCTTGGTACCCAGTCAATTGCCATCCCTAATTAGGCTCGTAGCATGGTCTACTAAAAAAAAGTCTAACGGTTACTTTTTTTAACCTTTATTAGAAATTGAAGCAATTTATTTTAAATGAACTAAATTTTCTTAGACTCAAATATATCCACCTAAACATGAATGATGTGACACAATATTACTAGTTAATGGTCATCTTCCTTTCAACATAAATACTGACCTCTTATCACTGTAAAGTGGATTTTAACGTTTTGAGCTCTAGTAAAAAAAAACTTTTGAGCATACTCTTTCAAAACTCTCTCTTGCACATCAGATTACATATGAAGCTTCATCAATTTAGATTTCAACCACCCACCTCCTTACCACTCGATTTGTGTCATACTAGCAATGTTTGCTATTCTTCTCGTACTTTTCACTACTTACATCCATTCTATTTAATTAGTTACTGTTATTTATATAAATGACAATACTAATTCTTTATTTTTTGACTGGTTGATCAATTCTAAAAAACCTCGAAGACATTAAAGAAACAAGCATTCCTACTTAACCAGTAAACCAATTTTTTGCAATTATAATTACACATGACTATTGTATTGTAAGCTACAAATTTCAGCTATTTGAGTTAAAAAGATAACAATTAACGTTTCGATGAAATTCTGGTTGAACTCCACTGCAGCAATTGATAGAAATCCTTGACCTTTTTTTTCCCCTTCTAATTACAGCCTTCTCCGCATAAATAAATTAACAAATCCAGCGGAAATAATTATTTAATTATATGGTGACATGCACTCGGATACAAATTTCTTAATATGTTATGACAGAAAGATGGAAAGATAAGAGGGTGTCATGACCACATTACTGGTTTACTTGTATTTGATCCACGTATTTTTTCAATTTTTTTTTAATTAAAATCTCTTACTTTTTCTCATATTGATTGAGTTATTTTACTATTTATCTATATGATATTTTTTTATTAGAATAACTATTTCATTTTTAAAATTATATAATTAAAGAAATAAAAATCAAAAAATAAACACATGAAAAAAAATAATTTATTTTAATTAGTTGATTAGGTTCGTTTACTTATTTTTTCTTGATTAACTTATTTTCTTTTAATCATTTAATTTTCACCTTAAATGGGAAAATTTTAAAACTAGAAGAGTTATTATGGGTTCCATAAAAAAAAAAAACAAAAAAAGATAGATATCAGGTGTTTAGTTTGTTATTATGACAAAAAGGTATCATGTAGATGTTAACGAACGACGCTGTGAAGAAGGAACTTTTACATAACAAAACAAAAGATATAAGGACTTAATTAATATAAAAAAGAAAAGGAGGCTTAATGTTTTATCAAGCATTCAGCTCGGTAAAACCCCCCATATTATTGTTTTAGCCAAAATCAAAATGCAATTTTCTTTAGTGTCCCATTTTTATCATGTTAGAGGCAGAAAAATTAAATATCACATAAAAAAATAAAAACAGAGACAGAGACAACCCGAGATATATATGAATTAAATGGCTTAAATATGTGATCCAATTGTCCGATTGTTGAATAAAATTGAGTTGGAGCCGTACAATTATTTTGGCTAAAAGAATTTAACTACTCCTAAATTTTAAATTATTTAATATTAAGTTCTTAAATTTTTTTTATTGGTTTTGAAATCTTTGAATTTTTAATTTTTTCAGATTTAGTATATTCAATGATTTTCAGTCATCATCTTCTCTTCTGAAAAATTTAATTATTGGTATTTTGAGCTGAAATTTTACACACACATTGAAAAAAATTCAATCAATTTTATAGAAAATTTTAGAGTTTTCAAAATCAAAAACTATATTTGTGTATTTTAAAAATTAAAAATATATAAAAATAGAAAATAACTTCGAAATGATTTCAATTTTTTTAAGAACCCAACATAAATTTTACTAAATAATTTTTATTATGAAACTATGTGATTTTTATTTTTTGAGATAAATGACAGAATACTAAAAAATAGACTAAATCTAAAAAACAAATAAGTTCAAAGATTTTCAAAATAAATAAAAAAAATTCAAAAACTAAATTTTGAATGAGTTAAAGTTCCGGAATAATTACAATATTTTAGCCAATTATTTTTTCACTGCATCTATGAAAGCTTGCTATTGTGGCAATATTTTTCCCTGAACAGCCTGACAGTGAGAGTTTCACATCCACATAAACACACGTACGCGAGTAATTAGCTGCGAACCCGCAAGGATTTTGGAAAATTACACTCTCACACACACGCAGGGGACATAATGCTTAAACACTAGCGTACAAAAACATCTTGGTCCTGAACTCTTATAATTATGCAAACAAGTTCTTATTATTATTATTTTTTTTTTCATTTTGCAACCTTCAAACGCTTACATAGGTAATAAGTACAGTTTAATCCTTAATTAAAAACTATAAAACCAAATAATTATTTATTCAAGCTAAAAATAAGATATTACCATAATATAAGTAGGACATCGAGAACATATATAATATGATTATGTAATATGATTATGTTGTTATTAACTTTCATATCAAATAAATGTGATTATAAATAGATAGTGAACGAACAATAAGGATTTAAAATAAGATTTATAAGAAAATCTAAACTAAAAAGCTAAAGAAATATATATATATATATATATATTGCGTGCTAAACAAATGAGGGTTTTTCTTAAACAAATATTGAATTCATTATTTTTTTCGTACAATTTTAAATATATGAAACTATTTGAAAATTAAAAATTAGATTAAGATTTGCTTGTATTGGATAAAATTTAAAAAATTATTTTAAATTCGATATTAAAACCTATGACTTAAATTGTAAAATTACAATGAAACTTCAAAAAAACAAAAACAAAGTT